CACAGAAGAGAGAGAAGAGAAAGAAGACACAGAAGAGAGAGAAGAGAGAGCAGAGAAAGAAGACACAGAAGAGAGAGAAGAGAAAGAAGACATAGAAGAGAGAGAAGAGAAAGGACACAGAAGAAATAGAGAGAGAGAGAGAAGAGGAAACTGGTCGAGGGGGCACTTCCGGTGGACAGTCGTTCTGTCTCAAGGATGGTGAATCGTCCTATCACCTCCACTCCTTCGATCACCAAGGGCATGGCTTCAATGCCAATCTGTTGCAGCGTGCAAATTGGGAAGTGGATGGAAGTGGCATCTACCTGAAAACAGGAGCGGATTTGACTTTGTCGACCAACAGCAAGGTGCTTGCGGAACTGACCGCCATGCTCAAAGATCTTGCACTCCCTTGGGCTGTGATGGGAGATTTCAACGTTGAACCTTCCATGTGGCATGGGTGTATGTTGTCGAGCAGAAGTTCTGGCCACAGGGTAGCCGACCTTGTTAACAGGGAACGAACTTGATTATGCCCTGGTGTCCAGATCCCTTTGCCAAGCTGTCTGTGGACTGGAATGTCCCTTGGCGACCCCATGGAGTGCTTCGTCTGGTCTTTAACAAGACAGCCCAGCTCCTCAGCTCCGCAACATATGCGGCGGTTCCCAGCTTGAAGGGATTGAAGCATCTGAGGGAATGGGGAAACCTTTGTGGCAGGGACAGAAGTTTGCACCTGACGCACGGGCCCTTGCTGGCTTCTGTCATCGAGCTGAGCAGTACTGCCTCCAAGGACTCCACAATCGCAAAGTTGGTCGAGGATGGTATCTCACGGTTGAGTCCAAACCGCTCCCACGAGGACAAGTGTTTGGCCCTTGGAGGAAAGGAGACTGGCTTGGTGGAATCTGTTGGTCACACTGGACCACTGGAATGTGTCCCAGGGCACATTGGCATCAAGGTCCGCCCACTGCCTTGCTTGCGCCTGAGCCTCAAATCTCAGGCGCCCCCTCTTTGCACCATGGCGCCCGTTCGAAACCACTGCTCCTCTCTCTTGCATTGCCTCTGCTGCACAGGGATCCCGAAAAGGCCTCTCAAAGGACACATCCTGGTTTCGCAAAGTGCGGTACAGGCCCTTCAAACCTTTCCCTCTGGCTTGGCCAAGCCATTCAGTGTAGGCCTGGGAAGTACCATCCAAAGCAATCTTCTTGAGCAATCTGATCCGCCAGAGCAGGGCCTTTCTCTACAGGGTCAAGGCTTCGTCTATTTGAGGCAGTGGGGGAATTGGTCAAGCTCATGAGGCAGTGGGAGTTGGACGCAGCCCTTCCGGAGCAAATCAAGACTTCCCTGGTCATCTTGCTGCCGAAGAAGCCCACAATCGAGCGGCCGATGAAGATGGGAGGCAATTCGCAAATGGCAGCGCAAGATCAAAGCACAGCTTCCGTGGGAGAGATCGGTTCCTGGCACCCACGTGATCCAAGTGGCATTGATGCGATTGCGTCGAGCTGAAGTGGGCAGAGAGCATCAGGTAAGCGCACGGCCTCTTTGCTGCTCGACCTCCAGAACTTCTACGACAACGTTGACTTGGAGGGCCTTCTGAAGCTTTGGAGTTCCCAGCGGTGGTGATAAACTGGCCTCCGCGTCCTCCAAGGTGAGAGGCTCTGAGAACTCACGCCAACGGGCACCAAGTCCAATGTCCGTTGTGTGCAGAACCCTCACTGCAGTCCACCTGATCTGGAGGTGCAAGTTCTTTGAGGGGCGTGATGATCTCCTACCTCAGGAGTGGATGACTACGTTGCAAGACCCAAGGGATACTGCCATTGAAAAAAATGGCCGCCACACCAACTTGGTGAACTGCACTCGGCGTGGAGGTTGTCTTGGAAGAGACTTCAACGTGCAGCCTATCCACGGATGGTGGTGGCTGGAACCATGGCCGCACTCCAAGCACACCTCATGGAGCTGAAATGCAAGTGAGCTCAACGATTGGGTCAGGGCGCCGTTGGAGTTCCTCCCCACTCTCAACCTCAATCTGGATTTCCCGTGGCCCTACTTGCAGCGGCAACTGGTGAGGGAACTACAAAATCAAAGGGCTGACCACATCCAAGAGCAAGAACACTGCCAGCTCATGCGGAGGATCACCAGACCTTGGAAGCTGGATGAAAGTGCCAAAGTGTTTGCCAAAGAAAGAGCTGAACAGGAATGCCCCAAACAGCTGCTTCAAGAAGTGCGTGCTGGAGTGCGGTGTGAAGTCTGCAAGAAAAGAATCAAGAGTTGCGCTGCACACGCTGAAGCGTCGACCAGAGAGGCTGAACGATGCACAGGAGTGGTGCTCAAGACCCTTGAGGACACCATGAAGCAGCTGGTGGAGGAAAGTGCCCTTGATCCGGACACCATTCCAGGCCAGAGAAGGTTTCTTCGGGATTCCTCTTTTGTTTTGCCAGGTGTTGGCAGCGAGTTCCAAGGAGATGTGGCAAAGAAGCCCTATGCAATCTGCAGAACTCCTCTTGTGAAGGAGGCAAGGTTGTCAGCGAGTCTGATCTGCCCATCCATGAGCGTGATGCCAAGATGCTGGCTGTCTATGGACTTGCAGCTCGACGCATAGATTGCTTGCTGAAGGATTCATGAATGGAGAGAACAGCTGACTGGCAGAGTTGATGTTTTCCGCCGGCTCGTGAATGCCAAGGGGAGGACGGCAAGCGGCATCAGCGGCTTGCCCGTGAGTGCGTTCGAGCACGTGGTCAACAATAGGTACAGCTACGATTTGGCCCCGCAAGTTCGGAGTCATGAACTTGGTGAAGATGGGATTGGGCTGATGGCTGGTGCCATGTAATTACTTGTGGTTGTGTCCACATTGGCAGTCCAAGGCGAAGGATCCAGGAAGCGTGGAGACAGCTGAAAAGCACCGAGCCCAAAAAAATGAGAAGAGAGAGGAGAGAGAGGAGAGAGAGGAGAGAGAGGAGACAGGCGAGAGAGGAGAGAGAGGAGAGAGAGGAGAGAGAGGAGAGAGAAGAGAGAGAGAAGAGAGAGAAAAGAGAAAGAAGAGAAAGAAGAGAGGGAGAGAGAGACAGAGAGAAGAGAGAGAAGAGAGAAAAGAGAGAAAAGAGAGAAAAGAGAGAAAAGAGAGAGAAGAGAGAAGGGCTGGTTTTGCACTGAAGAGTTCATCCCTGACGTCCACGGGAGGGCAGGAACTTTTTTGGCAGCCTTCCCCTTCTCTGTTAATTCTTCTAATGCATTTTAGTCCTACTTCAATCTGTAGTTCCTTTGTGTTATAGTTGGTTTGTTCTTTTGTTTTCCTCTCCTTCCATTTTTTGCCTTTCTCTCCAGGACTCTTTCTTCCTTTTTCTTTCCTTGCCTTCTTCTTCCCTTCATCACCACTTCTGCCTTTCTTTCAGTTTCTTTTCTTTTCAGGGTCACCTTGGCATCGCCTGGTTCACCGTCATAAATGAATCTGGAGCCTGGGGGCGTTCAACAGGCAGCACGCCTCCAGTGCCGACCGACCCGACGGAAACCAAATGAAATCAAGCATGTATCAAAGGCAAATGGCACGGAGAATGTAAAGAATAAGGTTGAACACCCAATAGGTAAGACTGTAGAAATATATATATATATGTATCAAAATATTCCTTTTTCTGGGCCGTTTGTTTTTCCCTTTCTGCATGTGCAATAAGCGCGCGCTCGAATTGAGTGGTTCTCTTAGTCACTTTGAAGGTTCCTGACACAGGAAAAAGCCCGAACTTATAGACGTTGCATTTTGCTTGAATTGTGTTTCACGAGGTGGATACCTTTCAAGAGATACGTTGTTTGAGCGTAGGTTCTTTTGAGCGCTTTAAAGTTCCACCACTTCCTGTGAGCCAGGATCCACGCAGCTTCCAAAAGCGACAGCTTCTCGGCAGCTGGTTTGGGGTGGTGTGTCCCGCTATTCGGCTATGATCCGGATGATGGACTTTCGGCTGCGCATGGAGATACTGCGCATTCGTGTGGCCACGTGTGAAAGTGTGTTGGCGGCAAACATTGGCAGCGCAAGACAACGAAGTAGCAACATTTGCAAGTAGCCAAGCACCAGCCACAGAACAGATTGGGCTGGCATGTTGTGATGATTTGGCGAAGACAACACTAGGAAATAAACCAGACAATCAACCAATTGAACCGAAATGGACATCAGCAAACCAAAACCAATCAAACATGTTTATTTCCTCAAATCCAGCTCTCGCAGGCTCCCGAAAGGTTATAGAGTCGTTTGCTTTGGATTCAGAACAGTCTCAGTAACTTCGCATCAGTTTCATAGACTCCTTCAAGCATAACCCTCCCAACCACACAGCGTCTGAACCAGAGGAAGAACCAAAATTGTCCAATGCTTCCATGCAGCAAGGATTTCTTGCCAATCTAGGTGGACTTCTCAAGTCTGATCACACGAAGTGGTAACTGTGACTGTACCAGCGGCCTCTTGCGCGCCACAACGGCAACAAAACCATCCAAGTCAGCGACTAATGACTATGCAATGGGGCTGCTGTCATTTCTTTGGTGTTTCCTTGGGGGCTGAAACATGCATGACCATGAGAATCTTCATTCTTTGTGCTGCGATGCAACCAACCATCGCCAAACAAGCAACCAAGAGCACTACGATAACCGGCCAAGCTTTCAAAGGCAGCCAAAGATAACTCGCTATAAACCACTCATGACCCATGATGATGCCTTGGCCGCTTACCCTTCACTTGCCCTCTTCGCTCGAAACTATCACTTCACTGAACGGCCGAGAAACGTCCTCCCTCGTCACAATTTGATGATTCTGGACCAAGTGCTTTCAGTCAGAACCAAGCGGTTCTGCTCTTTTCGTGCGTTGGAACTTCTCTGAGCAAAACAACGGCCAGAATGGACTTCATGCATCAGAAACCATCCCACAATCCTGAAAAGCCATGTTGGGTGCGCTGCATGGCGTTGATGGACCGGCCAAAATTCCACATGCGACTCACTACTCACTACTCTTTGACCATCCAACAACTGCACCACAAAGACGCAATCCGAAAAGATCCAAACGCAATAACTTGCTTTGGCCTGGTTTGAAATGCTTTTCTTCAGTGCAGGCCTTTCCAGATTTGGACATAGCGCAAGTTTTGTGAGCAAATGGCAGTTTCAAGGACTTGGTGAGGTACAAGTGGAAAGCGTGCAGCTCTTAAAGCTGTGGGTGTGCACTTGTTGTTGGCAGTTGAAACAGACTGAAATTGAGGTCAGCTGTGGCAAAGGGACGCGCGCTTCTATTTGAGACTTCGGTTTGCCCCACCACCTTGGCTGTAATTGGTTCCGCGGTATTGACTCTGCGACTTCGGAGCAGCAAAGATCAGGACGTTAACGAAAGAAAACCAGATCGATCAATGGTTTTTGAAAATGGTGTCACCAAAGGAATTGAAATGCAGGACGCTGACATTTTTGCCTATCTTCGCGAGAGACCTCCTGACGGCGGTGATCTTGTTTACATCACAGAAGGCAGAGCGATCGAACGCGATGACACGGTCAGGGCTCGGTCTCTTTTCGCATCACTTTCTGCGACGATTCACCTCTTCAGACTGAGTGAAGTGTTAAAGAAGCCACTAGGAACAAAGGGCATCGCTACTAGGAGCGATTGGACGCTACTAGGGGCTCCTGGCCGTACCACTAGGAACAAGAATGCTACTAGGAACGAAGGGCATCGCTACTAGGCTTGATCACATTCCCAGGTGCACTTCGCCTGTCCTATCGAAGGGAGGAGGAGGCTCCTGACCATGAGAAGGCCAGATTAGCAGGAGCACCCAGCAAAGTGGATAAAGAGGTCCAATTTGGTTTCTATGACGCGCCGTAAGGTAATGCGCTGAACAACCTCCAACTCAACTAGAAACAGCATGTCAGGACCTGTTGTCAAGAAAACGTGAACTAGTAGCTTCTAGCTAGATACTTATGAAAGAACGCGAAAACGCGAACTGCCGTGCGACCGCTCGAAGTGTCGTCCGGGAACACGAAATGCAAAGACGTGTCTTTTGACTTGGGCGTGCCAATGTCATGTCGTGACTCAAGGGGCCCCTGCATAGGAGCAGGATTCGAAAGCGTAAGCAGCGGCGGTCATGCCAAAAGCTGCAAACACAAATCATGTCATGTCCGAACCGGTTTCGTGGCACGAAATCCACACCGGTGGTTGTAGGCCAAAATGGCTCTAAACAAAAGGGCGTCAAATGGAGCGCCACTTCTCTAAGGCCTTCTGGCCACAGTATGCACAGCAACCCCACTGCTTCAATTGTGAGTGGTCTGCTGGTGACAAGGCTTGGCAGTCAGTTGCCGTGTGGAACGACTTTCCGCTCTTGGTGGTGAGGATCGTTCGAGGGATCCAATGCCTTGACAAATCGTCTTGGACTGCTGCCAGGCGGTTGTGCACATCGATCCAGTTGTTCCTGGCTTTCTTGAGCTCGCCTTCAACCTCTTGCAGCTCACATTGCATGTAGCGTTTGGTGTCAATCAGCTGCTCGACTTCTTCTTCCTGGGCAGTGCATTGAGCCTGTAGGTCAAAAAGTTCGGCTTCCTGATCTCGGACGAGATCTTGAAGCCGTAGGTTTTCGGCCATCAGAACTTTGAGATCAGTCTCTGGCTCCTTCTCTGTCTGCGTGCCCATTGCCATAGAGCTCGTGGATTTCATAGTCCACGTAGTTCTGGTAATTAATCGAGGAAAGCCAGGAAGTAGCGCTGCAGCAGCGAAAGAACTGCCAAAGAAGCATGCCAATCGCCATCGTGTAGAGGATCATGATCATCTCCGGGCTCAGCATGAAGGTCAGCGTGTCCTCCATGGTTACGGCTTTCACTCCAATCATCTGTGAGGTGAGCACAGCGAAGGCCAAGTGCTTGGAGTTGCCGGTCTTTGTGATGGCGTGTCGTCGAGCGCTGGCCTGTCTTTCGGCCACTGTCTTCTTCTTGGATGCCTGGAAGCTCATGTCAGCTTGGAGAGAGATGTGGTGAGATCGCAACCTGTCGGCAAAGAGTTGCCGAGCAGAGAACTTGGTGACCCCATCGGCCAGTTGAGCCTCTGAGGAGACCCACTTGAGACGAGACTTCATGATCAGCATCTTCTGCTTGGTCACCATCACCTCTATCTTGGTGCGTTTGTCACCTTGCAAGCTCGGAGTCTCAGCTTTGAGAGAGTCGTAGAGGGCCTTGGCGTCCACGACAAGTGCTGAGGCCATTTCAGGTGTGAAGTTGTCCACCTGTCTCAGCTGGAAGTCGTAGCGGACGCAGCCGTCCCAGAAGATCAGGAGGTATTCGAGGGCGTCCATGCCCGCTGAGCATGCTTGGCTCTCGGCATTGAGTGAAGATCTGCTCACCCTCAGCAGCTTGAAGCTGCGCCAGTCCAAGACCGTGTAGTCCTGGGTTGAGCCGTCCTCCAAGATCTGTTGGTTGCAGAGTGCAGAGGAAGACCACATAGCCTCCTTGGGGCTCGCTGTTGCGGCGAACTCCCCATGCAGCGTCGCTCATAGCAACCATGCACAGTTCTCCATGTCACCACCAAGATCTCTAAAGATCAATGCTGCGTCACTGTTGGACTTGGCAAAGCGAATGACCTTGTTGGCCTGAGCTGCTGTGTCGCCAGTGGCGGCTGTGACCTCGCCACATAGTAGAGAGACTGAGGCGCTCAAATGAGGAGAAGTCTGAGTTGCAGGCCACTGCAAGGCACCCAGCAGGGCGCGTAAGCAGCTTTGCTCTTTGGTGCTGAGGCTGCGGTTGGAGCCATAGTCGGTGCAAGTCATGGGCTTGACGTTCTTGAGGTACTCGGCTTGATGAAGCTTGGATTCATTTGCATCTCGACTCAAATGACAGCCGCAGAACTCCAGAGGTTTCTCAGCACTTTCTTCAGTCCAGCGCTTGAAGTTGAATGCCTGATTGAGTTGGTGCTTGAGGTGTTAATATTCTGGAGCGCCATCTTTTCCACAGCCATGTAGGTCGTCGACGTGAAGTCCGACCATTGAGATCAGAGCCTTGTTGGAGTCGTAGTAGGTGTACAAGCACTGATCGAGGGGATGAGCACGAAAGCCAAGGCCTTCCAATCTTCGTCGTGCCACCATGAACCATTGTCGAGGAGCGTCAGCCTGGCCGTAGATCGGCTTGATTAGTTTCATGAGCGTCCCAGGAGCGACGCCGATGAGGTTGCAAGCGTCTCTGGGGATCTTGGCCCATAGGACTCGCTCTTGTGGATCTCCCTGCAGGAATGCTGTGGACACGTCTGCAGTCCACCTCTTCCAATGGCAGATCTGGCTGATCGCCAGCAGGACTTGCCTTGAAGATCTCGACAATGTCGGTGAGGAAGTGTCCAGAGCTCCTTGTAGAAGGGATCTGAAAATCCTTGAAGGACCAGGCGTGCTTTCGCCTTCAAGCCTCCCTTGCCATCTGCTGCCCATTTCAGAACGAAGCGGGCTTTCATGACTCTGCTGTGGTCGACGGACTCAGGGTTCATCTCAATTTCCCAAACACAATTTTTTCAAACATGCTTGACAGCTCGGCCTTCTTGCCCTCCAGGAATGACAACCTGTCTTCTAAGCTCATGCGCCTCTCGTTGAGGTCGGCGCTGTCCTTCACCTTCTTCTTTTTGGGCACCTGCACCGGCGCCAACAGCTTGCCAAATGTGGCTTGCAACGATTCAGCTTGTTGGCGAGGTCGCCGATGTAGTGAAGGCCATATTGTTCAGCACCTGAGGACGTGAGAGGATCTAGAGTCGAGGCTTCGTTGAAGTGCTGCTCTTCGGAGGAGTTGACATAGATAGTCCCTGCTGCATTGACAAACCAGTGGTTGTTTGCAGGAGGTCGTTGGAGATGGGAAACTCTTCCGGATGATATGTGGTTGTGCGACCCCATACATGATTCCGGACCAGGAAACCATCTTCGAAACTTCACCAGTCCTGCGCGACTCCCAAGACAAATTCGTTGTTCTTCACGTCACAGCGCCAGCCTGAAGGGAGAGCATTGGACTTGGTGAGGTCGAAAGAATGTAGATCCACCTCCACATCAGTTTCGCCAGTGCGAGCTTTCTTTCTTGCCCATATGGTTTCTTGTTGGTCGAATCGACGTCGACGCTGAAAGGATTCTGGAGTCTCAGGTGGAAGGTAGGAAGCATCAACCGCTGGAGGAGCGCTGTTGGTTGCCTGTCAAGGTGCTTCTTGCTGTCCTGTGTCTGGCTCATTTGGAGCTGGGAGATCAAGATCATTGTCTTCCGGCACGGCTGGTAGATGAGCAGGATTTGGAAGAGCCATTGGAGTACTCGTGTGAGGAGGTTCATCCATCGGCTGTTCTTCATCCTCGGAGGCCAACTCTGGGTGATCATGTAGTTCTTGTAGTTCGGGATGTGGTTCACTGTTTGCTTGGTCTTCCGGAGGTGAAGATGCCACTCCAGGTTCTTGGGCTTCTTGCGCAGGAGTCTCCGTTCTCACACGAGATGTAAGTGGCTCTTGGCTATTCCCAGATACATGACCATCAGGTGCCGCGGGCGAAGACATAGTCAATGGTGGGGCCTCAGTGTCAGTTGGAGTGTACTCAAAATCACTCACTTCTGGGTCCACCTCGTCAATCGATCTCTTGTTGGACTTGCGAAGATCGATGATGCGCACTGCACGGCGCTGCCGAAGATCATTGAGGGCTTGCTTCACTCGATCGGAGCCGTTCACCATACCAGAGTCGTTGACCAGCTTTCTCACATGCTGTGAACCTGCAGGAAGAAGCACCGTTCCATGAGCCAACCAGTAGCATGCTATTGTTCCAGTGTCAGGGTTGCGCTCAATGGCCAGGACAATGGCAGGACCTTTCCATCGAATGGTATGAGCCTTGTCGGCAGCATCACGCCAGTAGAGGCATCGTTCACCAGGATGAAGATCTTCGTCTCGTCCACCATAGCGGCGCAGCAAAGCTCTGCGCAGCTTGACATCAATTTCTGCTTTTCCACATGCTTGTTGAGCTGAGAACTTCATGGCCAGTCGTCGATGAAGACGTTCTTGCTCGGAAACCTGCAGTTGCAAGGGTCCAGTGCGTTTGTCGGAGATGAGGCCAGGCAATGAAGGTTCTCTACCAAGTGCCAACTGGGAGGGCGCGAAGCCATTCACAAAGGTGTTGCTGTTGACTGCGGCACTGGCAACAAGGCCGATGAGAAGGAGCTGAACATCATGGTGGTTCAAGCTGGAAGCCGGGAGCACGATCCCTACGGAACCTGCTCAATCATTGTGGATTCTGGAGCAGGCGCAACAGTTCTCCCGATCTCCTACCTAGCAGCTGGCGTTGAGGTTGAGGAGGATGGACCTGTGTTGCAAGACGCCCAAGGTGAGCAAATCTCCATCGAGGGCTACAAAAGTGTCTGCTTCGTGTTTGAGGCAGAGAGCGGGAAGGAGATCCAGATCTTCGAAAAGGCCCATTTCTCAAAGGGTATTTCACAGCCTATCTTGTCATTTGGAAGGCTGATGGAATCACAAATCATTCCCTAGTCTATGGTTCAGGTGATCATGAGATCAGAATTCCTCTGCGCCTTCAAAACAAGAGCTTGGTGGCAGAGGGTAGTGTGAGGGCTATCTCAATGGAGCCGGAAGTGGTGAGGGTTCTCGAGGCAAAGCTCAAGGCTAGCAGAACATGAACAAGAGATTGAAGAAGTTCGACAGGAACGAGAAAGGGCAGAACTACAAGATGCTGCTGAAGGTTTACCAGCACCAAGTGCCCCGCAGTTAGATGAGCCCAATACAGGAACAGCTACACCCCCAGTTCTTGCAACGCAGCCTGAGGGTAGGGGCCCAGGAGGAGATGTTCCTATGGTGGACTCCCATGGGACGATGAGGAGTCACTGCCTCCTGAGGGGAGAATTTTGCGAAAATTCCCACCCCTTCATCAGCAGTCAAGGTTGAGCCCGAAAGTACAAGATTGAGAACCGAAGAGCCAGATTGAGAAGGACAATCTTCATCAGCCTCAAGGACAATGATGATTGAGAGAAGGGTGGAACGTGTTCATGTGGCTGGCGAGGACCTTTACCACTTGGACGAGGTCATCGACGTGGACCTTAGCCATCGAAGGTGGGCCAGAAGAGATTGAGGATCTCGAGCCAGGTGCCATTCCAGAGGAGCTATGGTCAAACCATCCACTGACGCAGACACCCCCACAACCTTCAGAAGAAGTTGATGCAGTGGCCAGGAAGGTGGAAGAGAAGAGATTAACAAGGATGGATGTCATCGAGAAGCTGAAACCGGAGGAAGCGAATTTGGATGTGCTCACAACAAGGTTTGTCCATGACTGGCGCATCAAGACCTATGTGGACAAGAATGGCATGAAGCACAAAAGATGGCTGAGGAGAGCAAGGCTTGTTTCTAGGGACTACGCCATCGAGAAGAGAGATGATGTGTATAGCCCGGCGAGTGGTCAACATGCCCTACGCCTATTGCCCGTGCTTTTCTTGATTGCAGCAAGTGCTGAGATGGACTATGAGACTGACTATGAGCACAACAAGGGCAGGCCGGTTATTGGAGCTTTGGATGTCAAGGATGCCTTCCTCCAAGTCCCGCAGGAGAGGCCATTGCGCATTGTGACGGCAATGGGAGAGTACAAAGTGCTGCGAAATTTGCCGGGTCAGAGAATCGGTGCAAAGGCCTGGTATGAGCACTTGAGATCCTAACTGATTGAAGAACAGGGATTCTCCTTCGACATCATCAACCCATGCTTGGGGAAGAAGGGAACAGGAGAAGAGCTCGTCTCCGTATTGATCCATGTTGATGATATCCTGTTCACAGGCAGGGCAGGGAGAAGCCAGTGATGGACTACATCGACCAGATGAAGAAGATGTTCGACGTCGAGGTCAACATGGTGAAGGACTATGGAGAAGAGTTTTATTCCTAAAGAGGAAGTACATCTACACAACCGAAGGGCTTTTGATTAAGCCTGGAGGCTATGCAGCGAGCATGGTGAAGACCTTTGAGGACTACTTCGGGGTGGTGAGAAGGCAACGAGTTCCGGCGACATGCGACATCAGATATTCAAGACTTTGATGGTTCGAGCACAGTCCCACCGGAACAAGCAGCAATCTACAGGTCGGTAGTTGGCATGGGCATCTACCTAGCCCAAGAGAGATGTGACATTTCCTTTTGCATCAAGGAGCTGGCAGGAAAGATGTCGAGTCCTACAGAAATTTCCATCCAGAAGATGAGGAAGTTCCTGGGATATTGCAGATCAGTCCATGATGCTCCCAATGCCGAAGAGAGGTGAGGGTATGAGCGCCCACAGTCCCTATCTCTGGATCTTGGAGACCTATACAGATGCAGACTGGAGTGGGAACAGGGCTACCCGAAGAAGTACCTCATCTGCTGTACATGCAGTCATGCTGCATTGCTCTTCAAGAGGACAGAAGGTGGTGAGTTTGTCATCAGCAGAGAGCGAACTGCACGCCCTTGTCTCAGGAGCATGTGATGGAACCTGTTTGAAGCACAGCCTACAGTTCCTTACAGGAGATGATGTTCACCACATTTGCCGCGTAGACAACTCGGCCACTCGACAAATTGCACGCAAGAGAGGAGCTGGGAAGCTACGACATGTGAGTGGGAAGCTGCTTTGGTGTCAAGACAAAGTAGCAAGTGGCGAATTGGAGGTTCGACAGATTGGGACGGCCAAGAACATCTCAGACATTGGAACCAAGCTATTGTCAAGGAGCCGATTGAAGCTGCTCTTACACTGGCTACAAGCTCGAGATGCTGAAGGTGAACGAGTTGGACAGCAAGAGTTCGAACAGTTCAATGAGCAGCACATTGAAAAAGGAAAGGTGATGAAGATTGCAAAGTATTTGAATAGGCTGGTCTTCGTTAGCGCTCTTGAGTTGGCTACTGGCGCAAGAGTGGACCCAGACCTATCAGAGAACACCAACTACATCGAAAAGCTCTTCTACCTCGTCATGATTGCGGCGGCGATCTTCCTGGTATGGTGGCTTCGAAGAAAGTTCAGGGACCTGGAAAACCGAATTGTGATCATCGAGAGTGAGTTGGAAGTGGTGAAGCACAACCACATCAGTGCCGGAGAGGAGCAAGAGCGAGCGTGGTCGATGCAAGTGGACTACACTCAAAGGATCCACCGAGCCTTGGGGATCATTCGATTCGTGGTGGTTTAGAATGGGAAACGCTGAAGTTCCTGGAGAAGATCAACCGACGTCATGAAGGGCTACATCTCAAAGTTCAGTGGGAGGTAGTGAATCAGAGAAGACAGGAACAAGGCGAATCGAGAATTCCCAACAGGTTCTCTGTGGATGATCCTGGACCACCACGAGATGATCACGATGATCCTGGTGATGCAAGGATGCTGAGTGGTGAAACAGCCACCGTGGAGCTGGACAGTGGGGAGGTTGTCGACATCCCCATTGAGTACTTGGAGATTGGCAGGGAGGTTGTCCAGGCACCGGATCCACCACCGGAGCCTGAGCCAAGTCCTGGGGATGAAGATGAGGATCCAGGACAGACATCCTGATGCCTGGCAACAGGCCCTACAACAGGGCAGATTTGAAGGCTCGACAGGAGCTTGCAAAGATTGAGGCCACGTGGTATCATGCCACGAGGGCAGGAGATCACGAGATGGCTGGTGATATGTATGCCTGAGCAGCCGTGAAGGACCATGAGGGTCATGAAAAGAGTTTACACTCCATCCGTGAAGGAGGAGTACGAAACTTGGTGTAAAGGACTCACTCCCATGTCTAAGACATGACACGCACAAATAGAGAAGCGTACATCTGACCGCAGGCCGCTTTAGTGACCAAAGGAGTTTCCGCAGTATATAATATACGTGATTCATAAGTTGTTGAACCCAGCATTTGCAAATGTGGTACTGTAGTGATTGAGAACAAGCAAGTTATCTTGAGCTCACACAACAGAACCCATAGAGAGAGTGAAACAAATTTGGAAGGCATAAATTATAGAATAATTGAACAGGCAAATGTCAATGTCAAGCAGGACATGTTTGCGCAAGTGAAGTGCAAAAAATAAACATGGTAGAAAGTGAAAGAACCCATTCTGAAATGAACATGTTGGACCAGGCTCGCCACAGGTATGACGTTGCCCCTGCGGGTTGCCTATTTGGAAATCTTTCCGCCGTATCCAGTTATATAATTGATTGATGATTGCAGAGCAGCAGATGGCCAATCAAAGACAGGCAGAGAGAGCCCATGATGCCGCAGGCCGCCGATCCCCACTCATCAGACTCCTCAATGGCTTCGTTTGGCGTTGTGCCTCACCACAGCTATAGGCGCCTTGCACCGAATTCAGACATCATCCTGATGTCAGCCATTCAGTGATTGCAGGCGGCAGGACATTCAGATGCTGCCGGCAGAAGGTTGGGACCCACCAGATGTGTGCCAAAGGGTTCCTTGATTCGTCGACTGCATGCAACCCTGATTTTGAGAGACAGATTGTCATTGGAGATCAAAGGTGCACACAAAACATGTCACGAAACACAAAACGTATCAAGCGTCAGACTCTTGGACCTGGGAAAGAAACTGTAGCGCATGGTGCGCGCACCTCTTTGAATCAAGAATGCAAGCAGGCAGGCAAGAAATGGCAAGAAACAAAGAGTGTCAAGGATGTGGTCTCTACGCTAGACAGCGTTTGCCACCATTCGGTACATAAAATGCATTCCAGTTTGGCAGGACAAGCAGGGAAGTGCTTACTAGTTGCAAAGGAATACTTCGTTGAAAGCAGGCGAGACCACTACAGCAAGGCTGAAGTTTTTCCCAGTGGCATACCGCTTTCGCGCTTGTCTCAGCCAGATGGAAGGCTTTGTCATGCGCGGCGGTTGGTTTGAGAGTTGAGGTCTTCAGAGCGTAGCTTTTCGGATGTGTTATGCCATCTCTCTGGGGGGTCACGGAGATAAGAGCAAGGTTTGCGCAGCGTGCTTCTTGTCAGGTAGCATGCGTGTAGAAGTTGGTCAGACGGTTGCTGACTTGCTTTCAAGGTGCTGGCTCCAAGATTGCCTTGGTGATAGCTCCAGACGAACCATTCTCAGCAAGCGCACAAGTTCAAGTGAACCAAATGACACGCATCTTGAACACAAACTAGCGTACTAGTTTCCCTAAAATCCAGGAACCAAATCATTAGTGCAAGTGTGAGCTATCCTGCGTCCTAGGTAGTAGCGTGCTAGTAGCTAGGTCTACCCCCCCGGGCCTTTAAAATAAGAATCTACCTTTCTTTTTAGAGTGTCCTGTTCTCATGTGTTCTGATGAGGATGCAGCCCACTACGCGCCCAACCCTCTAGCCGGACCTCATCCACCCTTCATTTGCCATTCCACGTCCGAGCAGTCCATGTGGCTCGGCCTTGCGTCCTGCGCTGGAGAGTACGCTCACCGAGAGATTTGGTGTTTGACGAACTTGCAGGCTGCCATACCTTGCATAGATGCAACTTGCATGTGCTGTATATTTTTAATAGCCGCATTGGGATGTTCAAGCCCTGATGCTGAGGTTATGGCTGCCAATCAAGGAGCAACAACTTTCTTTGTGAAGGCTCTCCCATCGGTTTGACGGTGCGGGACCTACACAAGAACTGCAAGCGGTTCTTATCCCAGGTTCCCTATTGCATGTCCTTTGAAGCGCCCTTTGTATGCTGCTGCAGCTGGGACTATGGTGAAAGCAGCCGCAGAACAGATGTAATGCTGCAGTGGCAATTTAGTGGCAATGTATAAATTAATTGTATAGAACGGCATCATCAAGTGTTTGCATTGAATGCCCGAAGAGGCTTTGGCTTAACTGGAGCAACCACTGCTGTAGTCACAGCAGTTGCGTTTTCATGACGCGATGAAGCTCGCCATGAGTTGTTTTTGTTGATATGGCCATGTGGGATTTGGGTGGCACCGCGCGTTTTAAAAGATGTTCTTGTAGAATGATAACCACCCCCCCCAAAAAAAAGAAACAAGATGGAGCCCACGAACCCGAATGCAAACACGTTCGAAAAGCTACATATGTCCAAATGACACTCTTGTAGGACACTCTTGTGGGACACTCTTTTGGGACACTCTTGTGGGACACTCTTGTGGGAAACTCTTGTAGGAAACTCTTGTGGGTCACTCTTGTAGGACACTCTTGTGGAACACTCTTACAGGACACTCTTGTGGGTCACTCTTGTAGGAAACTCTCTTGTGGGACACTGTTTTGGGACGCTCTTGTAGGAAGCTCTTGCGGGGCACTGTTTTGGGACGCTCTTGTACGACACTCTTGTGGGACACTCTTGTAGGACACTCTTGTGGGTCACTCTTACGGGGCACTCTTGTAGGACACTCTTGTGGGACACTCTTGTCACGAAAGCTAGCTGTAGCTAGCTGGAGTCTGTCTTGCTTTAGCAAGGAGGGTGGGAGCCGAGGACCTGAGTGTAGATACCTGATTTATCAGGCTTTAACCCCCCGCGGGTTCAACTCCACCCTTCTCCTCAGTACCTGCTGCTGCTTGGTCTCTTGCTGCTTGCATGCTTGGTGCTGCTGATTGCCTTTGGCTGCTTGCTGGTTGCTGCTGTTGGGGCATGAGCGAAGAGTTCGGTGGGGGAAGCGGGTGATGAAGAGTTTGGTGATGTTTGGTGGAAGCATGGCAGTAGTTGAGTTTTCCCTTTGTGCATCCTAAATTAACTATATTATTGTCGCGCTGCCCCAACTCGTGTCATGGTACGGTTGATGCCATTCATGCGGTTCAGGGTTGCTGCACTTGTTGCAACGCAACGAATAGACACTCTCAGGTGAGGCGTGGCTTGGTTTCTTGAGGTGACACTTTGTCAGGAATCGAGCTGCGCCTCGCAACTTCGGTGACCCTGGCGGGGTGCTTCGCCGCATCCTTGCATGCTCAAGGGGGGCCATCCTGGTGGTCACGATGCCCGTTCTTGATTTTTTAGGATTATGCATCACGCGTGAGCAATGTTTTGCCTAAGCCATCTAGCACACGGAGCCGCAAAGTCACTACAAGCGAGTGCACGCATGACATTTCCAGTTTGCTGCTGCTTGCTTGCTGATTGCTGCTTGCTGTTTGCTGCTTGCTGTTTGCTGTTTGCCGCTGTTTGCGGCTGCTTGCTCCTGTTTGCTGCTGCTGCTGCTGCTGCTTGGTTGCTGCTGCTGCTTGGTTGCTGCTGCTGCTTGGCTGCTGCTGCTGGCTGCTGCTTGGCTGCTTGGCTGCT